CCGCGTCAGGTTGTATCTCTCTCTTTCTCTCTCTCTCTCTCTCTCTCTCTCTCTCGAGAAAGAGAATCTCCATTGAGAATCGGAGAACGTTTCGGAACACGGAATGACATCATTCCGTGGGGGCCCTTCTTTATTCCAATGACGTTCGTCCACGCGGTGCCATGTCCGGCATGGATGACCGTGATTCGTGAAGCACATACGAATCAGGCCCAACCTCTCTCGCATTCCTCCGCACTCGTGGTCGTGTGTACGAAACTTATCTCCCGAAACGAGTATCTCCCGGCGCGGAGAGAAACTCGATGGGGGAATTTTCATCGACACTTACCCCGATCATGTGGTGCTTCTCTTTGTGAGGGGCCTTGAAAATTTTGCACCAGTAGGTGGTGTCCACGTTGTCTGAAACCGGTGGCTATGCATCAAGAAGAACGTACGATTAACACTAAGTTATACACACGTATACATATATATTATATTATATATGTGACGAACGTGATTGATTTGAATATTTTAATTCTATATATATATACTTACCTGATTCAATTTCACGTCCCAATGCTTGATATCCTCGGTGTATCGGGGAGGTGCGTGAGGGGCAGGGGTTTTCAATCTCAAAGCTCTGCCACCACGTTTGTCGCCAGGCCAAATCGCTGTATTTAATTCGGGATCGGTCGAATGAAGCGCCCAGAGAACTCGTATCGTGTCTCCCTGCGATAACCAGAGATATCTTCTTTTATTTTTTTATTTATTTCTTCTCTAAAACTTCTCGTTTTTCGGAGAATCGTTCGTAGGGGGGAGAGGAGGAATAAAAAGTACGTTTTAGTTCGTTCGTTAAGAAGTATTTTAATGGGCTGGACGCCACGCTGGTTAAAGGACTGCACTTCCCCTCTGAGAAATCGAGAAGACGGAGGAGGCTCGCGAACGGCATGCTAAATGCCTAAATATCGCTGCGGGAATTCGGCGGGGCCTTAAGCCCTCTTCTTGAAGTCACGGTTTCTTTTCGGACATAAATCGAGGGGGAGAGAGAGAGAGTGAAGATTCTCTTGGCGAATTTTGTCTGCAAATCTTTCCTCGTTGTTATCCCTCTCCCTTCAGGGAGAATATCGAATAATTTGTTTTCCGTCTCTAATTGCTCTCGAAGTATAATTAACACGTTCGTCGCCCCATATATGGGGCTGACGCTTTCTTCTTCGAGAAAAATAAGATTTTTAACCATTTACATTTGTAGTTATATTCAAGAAGGTTATCGATCAAGTAAGAAGAGCTCTCTACAATGTTATGTTATATTATATATATTTATTAATGTAAATATATGTATGATAATAAAATATAGGATAACGATTGGTATAGCGACATATGAATGCAAAGAGTTAAAGCGGAATTTTAAAAGAAATTTAATGGAATAAGAACTGAAATATAAATGTAAAATACACTTTGGAATCGCAGAATTTAAAATTTAAGAATAATAAGAAAACAGGAAAGGGGGACAAGTATGATTTGTTAGCGAATCACTCTGCATTTTTATACAATTTTAAATCAAAAAATTATACCGTATGCGGTAGCATAAAAGGATGTTGTTACGATAATATTCCGACCAAAATACTTTGGAAATTGACTTTGGAAACGAAGAAGTAGAAGCACTGAAAACAACTAATTCAGAATCGATATTACAGAATTAACGAAACTAAAAAATAACTAATATACATATATAAATATACCCCAACTAAACTTTAAAACTACTTTCCGACAATAACGTTTCAGTCCTGTATTGGAAATCAACGAAATCACGTTGGCCGACGAACCTGTTAAACGAGGTAGAATGATAAAACACGATCCTTTGTCACGAATTTTATTTAAAAGAAGAGGAAAAGAAAGTGACAAGAAAAAAGACAATGTACATGCAAGGTATAATATAATTAAATAAAGAGTATCGTACGTTCTCTATGTTTTTTTTTTTTCCTAGCCTTACCGTAAGCCGATGATCCTGAGGGTCGCAGGTCTGCCAGCTCCGCGAGAAGATCACGCTCGTGTGAGTTTGGTTCTGCGAACCGCCCAGCACTTTGACATCTTGAGACGTGTCCGTGACCAGGGCCGCCTCTGGATCCTCGATCCCGTGCGAGTCCTGAACGAGAGAGAAAGAACAATTTCAATCCGGTGCATGTACGCACGGGTGAACGTACGCCGCCTCTGGGAAAGACTCGAGCAGATTCGACGACCAGCAAAAGTTTTATCAGATCGTGAACGCCAGGTGTTTATATATATATTCGACGAAACAGTTTTTGCCAACCCCTCCTCTCGCGCTTTCTCCTCTTTATGGAACTTAATTCACGTAGAGGATGGACTGTACGCGCAGATTTTGGAACGAATCGAAGCGATGATCGTACGCGATGATCGACGCGTCGATCGATAATAAGAAGGATCAGGGGCGAGCACCTGAACGCGACGAGAGAAGAAGGGTGGCCGCAGGCGTTTGGGTCCGTTGGATTCCGATTATGGTCGGGCGTTAAAGGGAAGTCCCTTTCCTGCTCTTAATGAATCGAAATAATTGGCCGGCCATCTCGTCATGCTTGTTGCGTATTTTCTAACCAACGCGCAAACAGGAAACGTGTGTGAGGAATCGTGACGCGATAAACAAGGATGAATCGATTTTAGAGACTCACTCGCTTTCAACGAGAAAAAAAGAAAGAAAAATCGTCGAGCGAGAGTTTATCGGCGAGAGATCGATGATCGCGTTTCCCGTTTAATTATTCGATTCGCCCTGTAACTCGCCCCTCGTACGAGTTACGTTCTCACGAGATTCGCGCGGGGGTTTTCTCATGGCACCCGGATATTCTCATCGTCGCCGGGCTAATTATCGCGTCCGTGGCATTGGTGATTAAAGAAGAAAGAAGGAAGGGGGGAAAAAAAGAGAGAAATCCTTGGCACAAACTGCCGATCGAGTAACGTTTTAATTGCCGTTACAATTTACGTTATATACCTCGTGAAATCGGCGTGGATTGATTTTAAACTCGCGAAGCGTGAGAATACGAGAATACGAAAATTGTGCAAACGAGCGGAATTCTCGTGATATCTCGAATTGGACGTCTCTGTCTAAAATCTAGAAAATATCTATCTAACGTTTCTCTCTCTTTTAGGAAATTGATTTTGGAAAAACTGGAACCAGATAACAGAGATGTTTGAGATACATCGAGGAACAACATCCTCCAACCGATCGATTACTTTTATTTCATTATACGTGAAAAATTTCTTTGCGAATCGCATATCGTATCTCGGTCTCGATCGAAATGGACGATCGGTTCGCTGAACAGCGCCTCTCTGCCGTCCTCCTTTTAGGAACAAGTTTCTCTGGATTTTTGCAAGCAACAAATGCGCGCCGTCGCAGCAATCGTGTGCAATCCCCTCGACTAGAGAGAGAGAGAGAGAGAGAGAGAACGTATAACGGAGAATGAGAAAAGTGTGAGTATTCTTTCGTCACGAATCGAGTCACGGATGCATGGGAAAAGAGGCACGCGTGCGTGGATGCGGAAAATTAATTCGGCGGATGTGACGTCATGGATCGGTACTCGCGTTTCCTGAGGGACTCTTCTCAGAAACCTGTGTGTTTCGAAACACCCTTGGCTATCCCTTACTTATCATTAAACGTGATTTGATTAAGATTCGTGCAGGAGGAATCGAAACGAATATATATATATATATATATATTCATAGCGCCGTATCTGCGCGATCTATCTTGAGAAATAGTTTCCGATCTGTACAAGCGTCGCAAAAAAGAAACGGTTCTCTTTTGTGCTCGAGGAGGATCGCATGGTGGTTCCCATGGGCCTGATGGTTCCCTGAAGAAAAAGAGAGAAATTCTCTCATGAGGCGCCACTAGGAGGAGGAGGAGGAGGAGGAGGAGGACGATGCTTGCCAGGTGTTTTGGAGGTAGTGGGCCTCTCTCTCTCTCTCTTCTTTTC